AAAAAAAAAAAAAAAAAGAAAAAAACTCTAGTGGGTGAGCTGGCAATTCTATGTGATCTTTATAGAAATTCAAAACTTGGGACAGCTTTTGATCTACTGAAAGAAGGGCATTGGCATTCTTAAAAAATTTGAAACCCCAACTATCTGTTATGAAAAAAATATCTTTGGCATGGTGTGCCCTTTGTCTACCATGCTTGTCTATAAAAGAACAAAAAGTTGCCAGCAAGGAACTTAGACGGAGGAAGCAGCAATGAGTCATAAAGTATAAGCAGTAATAAGAAGTCAGAAACCCTGAACACAACTACCTGATTGAAGTTAGAGAAGTGAACATTATAATCAAGGATAATAAATGCCTAGCATAGCTTCGACCATAAAACGTAATACCAGCTAGAGTAAATATCTTGTATAATGAACAGATAATTTAGCATTAGACATTGTACTATCTCGTTGCTTAAAATAGGTTTAGGTTCTAATCTTAAGACGTATATGATTAATGGAGAATTGGTCTTCTAAGCAAGTGCCCCAGTTTTCACCCCTTCAAGAATGGTGAATTGGCAAAAGAATTAAAGTCAGTTACCTAGTGAACGAAAGGCAGACCTTGTACATTGTACATGATGTTTTTAAAAAAAAAAAAAAATTACCTGCCAATAAAAGATCGTGAGATTCCTTGAGGAAGCGTTCGTGAAATGAACCGAGTTGTAGTTGGCCTGGCATTTATTGCTAAGAATTTTACCATTTGAGCTGAGCTAACTAAACCCTAGAATAAATAAACAGTCAGCATACGGCCAAAGTTCAAGGCTAAAGTAATTAACACTAAATGAAAATGATACTATTTCCTGTTCCCCCAGGAAAAAATTAAATTAATAAAAAAATACACTACCATTTCATAAGCCTGACGAAAACCAGCAGGCAAATCCATTATTGTCTTCTGCCACTCATTTAAGACTGCATCTACAAATTTTCGATCAAAAAGCTGGAGGAATACAAAGTTAGTGCTAAAATTGTGCCCATAAAAAGCAACAGCAACAGATTTATCACTAACAAATCCTATACCTCTTCAAGAAATTGCCTTCTCCGAAATAGGCCACCTTCATCTCCCTCATCCCCATCGTCGAATTCATCATAATAATCGTCATCATCACCGTCATCATCCCCACCATCACCACCACCATGATTAATTTTCTTGCCAATATCTCCACCACCTCCCCCAATTGCAGTCTACGATTTGTAATTACATCATTTTAGTACCAAACACTTGGAATAGAGAAAATGTAATAATTCAACCAACAATATAGCAGAAATGCTTAATTCCACCAACTGAACTAAATCATTAAAAAGAAAAACAAAAAACAAATTATTGTATTTAAAGCACACTAGAGTGCAATAGTACTCTAAGGCTTAGGTGCCAACTGTCAAGCACAAAACAATAATAATAACAACAGTAACTTTTGTATGTTTAAAACAAAGACCACAAAAGAGTTTGGTTGACAGTTCTTGAGCAAATCCTACCATTTACAAATCAACCAAACCTCTGATAGAAAGACCCAATCCTATTTATGTACATTTTTTTCTTCATGCAACCATGCTAACAATAGATAATACAAATGTTTGGGCTAACATATTATTATTTGCAAGTTCATTGGTTCTTCCTCCTTCTCCACGGCTAAGAAGCTGAGGAAGGCTCTGGAGAAAAGAATATCTTAATAACGTCAAAGAATTCCCTTGGTTTTTTTGCTTTCCAAGACAAAGGAGTTAATATTCAAGATAGATTGCAAAAAATATCATTCTGTCCTTTTCTCTGCAAGTTTGTCAAAATTGATTTTTCTTGCAAGGAATCCTCACACCACATTGTTTATCCACTGAAAATTTTCTATGTAACGTTGTTGGTATGGTTATGAGTCATCCTAAAGACAACACAAGCTGGCTTCCCGAAATCCTATCAGGTCACTGGTTAAGTGCCAAACTAGAACTCAAAGTACTGCATAAGCTGTTTCGAGGTTCATTAGAAAGAAGCAAAAAGTAGGTTTTTCAACTTTTCAGCAATAAGCTGTTTCGAGGTTCATTAGAAAGTACTGCATAAGCTGTTTCGAGGTTCATTAGAACTCAAAGTACTGCATAAGCTGATTTCTGAGAGATTGAACAGTTTACAATGTTAAATTGCAATGGGCTGCTCTTCCTCATGCTCTCAGAACTGGGGCTTAGAAAGAGAGGAATAATGCTCTTTGTTAAATGGCACACATTCAACTACCTAGTGCGCCAACATGTCCCACGAGAGTCATTGGCTGCTGATGTAGGACCATAAACGTGGAAGGGCTGATATTCTGTATTCTCTGGGATAAAATTCTCAAGGCCATCTATACCGTTCATTTTTGAACAGTGATCTTTATAAGAGGGGATTACCAGGCTGTCATCATTTTTTCTAGAAAATTGGGATTAGAGACTACAAAGATGACTTGCCGATCTTTCCTTCTCCAAAAGGGATAATGAGCTTTTTCTGCCAGTGTGGTCAAAACTTTATTATTACTATAATAAAACCTCTTTTATTAAAATGTTTTTGGCCCAGATAACAGTTTTCACCTTTGTGTTCCTTGAAAAGTTCGAGGGTAAGCCAGGAAAGTTTAACAAATACTTAAACACTGAAGTTCATAAGCCAGTTAAGAGAGATCCAGCTTAGGGAGATGGAGAAAGATGAGTCTTGTCCAAATTCTGTAATCCTAGCATGACTTCCTTTATACTTACCGTCAATCAAGATAAAAAATGATCTGTCCTCAACTGTGATAATGCATTGCGAGTAATTCTATCTCATCAAGATGAAATGCTTGGAAGGGGAAATGTGACTGCCGAGGGAAGAGAAGGGAAGCCATGAATGGAAGGGGGAATGAAGAGAGGGGACAGGAAAATATGAGGAAGCCATCAATTCAAAACAATTTCATATCAGCTTGCTTTCATGAATGACTAATTTTTCAGTCAATCAACTAGTGGAGAATGGAAATTACTACTTCTATCCAACCATAAGTCCAACACCCAATAAACTTGAGAAGTGGACTCATTTTTTATCCACGAGTGTCCCCACCATCTTGTATTGACCTCGCCTAATATCACGAGCCAATCGTTTGAACCTACTACATTTGGTTGAGAAAACTTGTAGGACATTAAATCCTAAACAGGTACCCACCATGATTGAAGTCATTCCCGCTAAGCCCATTACTTTTTTTTATTGACCCCTAATAACCAATATGTCTAGCTTACTAATGATGGTTGAGAAGTATCATTAGTAATGGTGTCCTAATAGATTTTTGTTCAAACAGAAGGGGGAAATGGCAAACCTAGATTCATTTCCAATTACACCACTAGTTTCTTGCCCAAAAAAAAAAAAATTAACCAACAAGGTTTACCCGATCACCACAACACACAACTCCTGTACCTCCCCAAGACCAACTTTCGTTCTCATAGAAACATGGGACTGCGGATCTTTAAAACGTATAGCTGCAAGAAAAATATTTAGACATGTGAAGGTGAACAGATATTGTAAGTGTCAACCCTCATTGCAATCCACGGGTTCTTTATCCATTAATACATTTCAGCCAATTTGGAAGAAAATTCACTTACTGCAGCGAAGTTAAATCGTTCCCGAATAAACAACCCGAAGCATTCTATGAAGGGAACATGGCAGTTAAACAAAGTTCACAAAAATCGACAAACATCTGAAACAGTTCATTGATATATATGTTGTTCAATTCCATTTATGATAATAAAAACTATAAGCAATGGATTTTTGTTGCTTAATCGTACACTTCACTTAACACACATAGTATTGTTCAACTAGGCAGAGGGTAAGATTTAAAATCTAATAGAATAACTTTATACAGATAAAGCCAACAAAAAGCATGAACTCTCGGATGGGATTAAAATTCCTAGTTAGGCTGAGATAGGAAAGTTTCCGTCATTAATTGCCACAAATGTAATTAACAAAAACCTCCCAAGTTAAGATCATGTTCCACATCACAATCCACAGAGAAGGAACATCAAAGCATATATTAATCGAAGTGAACGAAACCAAAAACGAAAAACTCACCTCGGGGCTAGACCTGGTCTGCTTCTGAGACATATCAAGCTTGGATTTCTCCAAGGTAACAGCACCAAGGGCACCATATTTGCCTTTCATAACAGGTCCGGAAGAGGAGGAAGATGTAGCGGTGAGAGAGGAGTCAGAACCAGCAGGCGAAGATGGGGCTGCAAAGCAACGCTCTAACAGAGCAATGGAATTCCCATCTGAATCATCCGAAGAAGAAGAAGAATGAGAAGGAGGAGGAGAAAAAGTGGTGACGGCTTTCACCACCAGAACTGTTCTGGTTCGTTGGCAAGAACCGAGTTTGACAGGCGGCGGAAGCCATAGCTTGGTGGTGGGAAGCTGGGTGTGGATGGGCATGATTTGAGCCGTCTGGAACACCGCATGAGACATTTTCGACTCTGGATAACGTTTACTCGAATGCTTTTTCCCCTAAATGTTCATCGAGATTGAATCGCAGAGGAAGATGAAAGATTCTGAATTGGAACTCTGATTCCCTCTCTCTGGGATGGGGATTTTAGAGAGAGAAAACAAAAGGAGAGAGCGAAGGAGATGAAGAAGGGCTTTTTAATGGATTAAGGATAGCCGCCTGCGGAAGCCACGAAGAAGAACACAATCCTAAACGAGCATATTGACCCGCTGAGTCGGTTCTTTCCCTGGGCCGGGCCGGGCCAGTCCGAGTCGGTTCTTTGTGTTTAAGAAAATTTCTAAAATACCCTATACATTATTGCTATATTTCAATTATGCCCCTTCTTACCCCATCGATGTGGAACCCCCAGAGCGTCTTTTAAAACACGTCTGCTAAGGAGAAGTGTTTCCACACGTTTATAAAAAATGTTTCGTTCTCCTCCTTAACCGATATGGGATCTCACAATTCACCCTTCCTTCGGGGCTTAGCGTCTTCGCTGGCACTCTTTCCCTTCTCCAATCGATGTAGGACCCCCTAATCCACCCCTTTCAAAGCCTAGTGTCTTTGTTGATGCACCCACTTGCTGGCACTTGTTCCTTTCTCAATCAATGTGGGACCCTCCAATCCATCCCCTTTCGGGATCTAGCGTCCTTGCTAGGACACCACCTCGTGTCTAGTGTCCACTCCCTTCGAGGCTCAACCTCATCGCTAGCACATCGCCCCGTATCTACCTCTAATACCATTTGTAATGTCTCAAACCCACCTCTAGTAAATATGGTCCTCTTTGAGCTTTCCCTTTCCGACTTAGAGAGGTTTTCACACCCTTATAAAGAATGGTTCGTTCTCCTCCAACCGATGTGGAACCTCACATTTAAGATAAGTAACTCACAAGTGTTCGAGAAGACAGCTATGCCAAGATTCAATGACATTTTTACACTTTGAATAGAAGAAAACGTGCAATGAAACTAATAAATAAAGTACCCCAAGTGTATTAAACATTTCATCACAAATCAAAATGATCAAAATTCATTAGAACTTCAGCTCACACAAGCAATTGATTCATCCATACTGTTGTAAAATGAGCTCAGTTTTGTAACAGCAAGTGCCTCTCCGAACAATGATGCTCGTGTCGATTTCGATATACGAACTTCAACAAAGTCACCAATCGCCACTTTCCGTTGTCCATCGTAATCGCCATCTCGATGTGGAATAGCTACATTAACAAACGAAACTCTATGACCTCGGTCACTCTTGCCGATCATCTCCGTCTCTAGGGCTCTCTTGTTTGGTCCTTCAACAAGAACCAATTGGATACTACCAATTTGCATATCATAACATTGTCCTGTACTGTTTCGAAACGTTTCGATGAGTTCAGTGAGTCTTCTCTGTTTCACTTCCTCTGGAACGTCATCGACATAGTTTCGATGTGCATGAGTTTTTTCCCTCATGCTATATGCAAACATGTAAGCCATATCGTATCCGACTTCCTTAATCAGACTTAGAGTGTCGGCATGTTCTTCTTCGGTCTCGCCACAGAAACCTGTAAATTGGAATGAGGAATGATATAAGGAGAGTAATACCGCTACATTGCTGAAAAAAATTGAATATGATATGCATCAAACCCAGTAAGCTCTGTGACAGTATCAAACCAGGTATTTGACATGCCATCAATGTTCTTCAGCAGAGAAAAAAGGCAGCCCAAAATTCCGTACTACAACCAACCATGACAACAATTTACTAAATCAAATGAAGGAAAGTGATGTGTGTTGTTTGAATAGCCAGACATTAGGTGGGTTTGGGCCATTACAAATGGCATCAGAGCTAGACATTAGATGATAGGTCAGTGAGGAGGCCGAGTCCCGAAGGGAGGTGAACACGGGGCGGTGTGCCAGCAAGGACGTTGGGACCCAAAGGGGGGTGGATTGTGAGATCGCACATCAGTTGGGGAGGAGAACAAAACATTCTTTATAAGGGTGTGGAAACCTCTCTTTAGCAGACGCGTTTTAAAAACTTTGAGGGGAAACCCAAAAAGGAAAAGCCGAAAGAGGATAATATTTGTTAACGGTGTGCTTGGGCAATTACGAATGGTATCAAAGTCAGACACCGGGCGATGTGCCAGCGAGGAGGCTGAGCCTCGAAGGAGGGTGAACACGAGGCAGTGTGCCAGCAAGGACGTTGGGCCCCAAAGGGGGGTGGATTGTGAGATTGTACATCAATTGGGGAGAAGAACGAAACATTCTTTATAAAGATGTGAAAACCTTGAGGGGAAGCCCGGAAGGGAAAGCCAAAAGAGGACAATATCTACTAGCGGTGGCTTGGGCCGTTACAAATGATATCAAAGCCAGACTCAGGGCGATGTGTCAGTGAGGAGGCTGAGCCCCGAAGGGAGGTGAACACGAGGCGGTGTGCCAGCAAGGATACTGGGCCCCAAAAAGGGGTGGGGATTGTAAGATCCCACATCGGTTGGGGAGGAGAACGAAGCATTCTTTATAAGTGTGTGAAAACCTCTCCGTAGCAGACACGTTTTATAAACCTTGAGAGGAAGCCTAGAAAGGAAAGCTCAAAAAAAACAATATCTATTAACGGTGGGCTTATAAGACTAACAACTAGTATTAGCTAAGCAGTCATCGGGGCTTATAAGACTAACAACTTAATGGCATACCAAAGTACCAAGTGCATAATAACCAATATCTAATACAAAATACTAGAGGTTCAAAAGGCCACTTACCACAAATGAAATCACTAGTTATTCCCACGTCCGGAATGATTGATCGAATCTTGTGAACAAGATCCAAGTAGACCTCTCGTGTATATCCCCTACGCATTCTTTCGAGAACCGTGCTATTCCCGCTCTGAGCAGGTAAATGGATGCTTTTGCAAATGTTGTGTTTGTCTCGCATCAAATAAAGGAATTCGTCGGGAAAGTCTTTAGGATGTGGAGATGTGTATCGAAACCTCATCTCAGGAAATTCTGTGGAAAGACGATCTAAAAGATCAGAAAAACGCAAACCCATTTTCTTTACCTTGGCTATGGTCGAAAATCCATCACTGAGTTTCCAGTTAGTCCCTGGTTCGACATCAGTATTATCGATGATATCGTTATAGCTGTTAACATTCTGGCCCAGAAGAGTTACTTCTTTCACACCTTCTCTATAAAGTTCCCTGACCTCAGACACAATTGATTCAACAGGACGTGACCGTTCTCTGCCCCGAGTGAAAGGAACAATGCAGAACGAACACATATTGTTGCAACCTCTCATCACGGATACAAACGCAGTGACAGAATTTTTCGATATTCGTACGGGGCTTATGTCTGCATAAGTTTCTTCAAGGGAAAGAAGTGTGTTGATACCCTTTTGACCATAATCTACTTCATCCAATAATCTTGGTAGATCTCGGTAAGCATCAGGTCCACAAACTACATCGACCATCTTGTCTGCATCTAGTATCTTATCTTTCAACCTCTCCGCCATGCACCCCAAAACGACTACTTTCGGAGGGTGTCGAGACTGCGACCTTCCAATGGCAACATTACTTTTCCATTCCCTCTTCAGAAACCAAAAGTAATTAAGTCTCTGCCACACCTTCTGTTCGGCGTTGTCCCTGATTGCACAAGTGTTGATAAAAATGACCTCCGCCGTCTCTGGAACGTCGACAGTTTCGCTATATCCAGCATTTTTCATGATTGATAGAACAACCTCCATATCATTAATATTCATTTGACACCCGTAAGTTTCATGGTAAATACGACCTCTTAAAGGCACTTCGGAACCTGTTAAGGGTCTGGTTAAGGATAAGAACAAAAGAAACGTTCAGATTTCAGACATAATTCTCAATAATGTATTACTCGAGATGGAAATAGAGAAAAACAAACGGCTGCCCACAGTCGTCAAAGCCAAAAGAGATTACAAAACAATACTCACAAGAGGCATGTCATTGGTTAAAAAGGGGGAGTAAATACAAAAGTCCCGAGCTAGAGAGCCCGAGTTTAAGACTGCAACGCATACGTTTCCAAGACCTCCAAAATAAATAAACACTTCAAATTCTTTCGGATGATAAAACCAACAAATGTTTACTACATAAAACCTTCATACGATAAAACCAAAGGGTCCACCCGTGCCTACATAAACGTCGTCAAACAGAGTTCACAGTCTTTGAAGCTTTATGAGGAGCACACCAAGAGATTATAAATTGCTGAAAATATACAATTTGCTAGAGAAAGAGAAATGAGAAAAGCTTCAAAAGGCTAGTGTCCTTCGGCATGCGTGTTGTCACGTTTGTATCCCATATTTTTAAAAATTAGTGTGTTATTATGTCCGGGTCGTATTGTATCTATGTCTCCTATACGTATCCCCGCTTCTTAGTAATATAGGTATTTGGAAATGTTACTCGCATTAAAATCAAACTCGAGTTAAACTCCACTTCAACTCAATCTTGAACTCTTGTGAATGAACATATAGTTTTCTTAATGCTAAGTTTTTCCTTAAGATCTAGTTGAAAACGGTTGAGTAAGAAAGCTTTATCTCTCTCTTGGTCATCCCGAGTCGAGCTCACCATGTTTTTGAACACGAGAAAGTAAAGCTTCTCACAACTTTTTGGCTCTTGATCTTGTTATGGGACCTTGAGGCATGACAATAAATGTTCCTTGGATCCCGAATTGAGCTCGGGTTATCTAAGGTTCATCGTAAGGATAGTGAATTCCTTTGTCCTCCCTCTATTGCCTCATTTAAGAGATTGTTTACATTAGTTTGAAGAGTTTATAGAGCTTTGCAGGCTCAGTTTTTTCTTGGTTCTTTTTCTCTTGTTCTTTTTTATTGTTTTGTTCAAGAATAAGGGGTTGGTTTCTTGCTAGGCTAGCAAATATTGTCCTCTTTGGGCTTTCCCTTCCGGGCTTCCCCTCAAGGTTTTAAAATGTGTCTGTGAGGGAGAGGTTTCCACACCCTTATAAAGAATGCTTCGTTCTCCTCCCCAACCGATGTGGGATCTCACAATCCACCCCCCTTCGGAGCCTAACGTCCTCGTTGACACTCATTCCCTTCTCCAATTGTTGTGGGATCCCCAATCCATCCCCCTTCAGGGCCCAGCGTCCTTGCTGACACACGGCTGTGTGTCCCACCCCCCTTCAAGGCTTAGCTCCTCGCTGGCACATCGCCCGATATCTTGCTCTGATACCATTTGTAACAGTCCAAGCCCACCGCTAGCAGATATTGTCCTCTTTGGGCTTTCTCTTTCGAACTTCCCCTCAAGGTTTTTAAAACACGTCGTCTGCTAGAGGGAGGTTTCCTCACCTTTATAAGGAATGCTTCGTTCTCCTCCCCAACCGATGTACGATCTCACAACTTAGTACCTAAGAAGTCTAAATTTGTACATGAAACTCAAGCCACAAGTTATATAGTAACATGGTAACACCTTAAAAACTTAGAAATAATAGACACTGAAAATAATGATCCGACCCTTCAATTACACTCGAGTAGCTCATCCAACTCCAAATTTCATCCTGTACCAACATAATGCTTTGACACAAAACCTCTCAGCCTTCCAAATACAACACACACACACACACACACACATATCCATATCACTTTCCAATTGCAAGAGAAAAGTAAGAAACACGAGCAAACATCTGCAAGGAAGTTGAGAGTCTTACTCAATCCCATTTTGTCTCTGGACCCAAGATTGGTCAGGCGAAACGGAAGGCCTCAATTCCTCGGATTTTTTGACAGACCCAGGTGCCGCAGTAGCTGCAATGAACCCACCATGAAACCTACGAGTTCTCCGAGAGAAATACCCAGAAAGCGGAATTGAAGTTGGAGGAGAAGCAACATATTTGAGTGAAGAAACTCGGAAATAGGTTCTGGTGGAGGAAGGAGAGTTGAAAGCATAGCCAAATTTGAAGAGAAGCGAAGCGGAAGAAGTGGGTTTGAAGATTATGGATGTGGAGGAAGAGAAAGGAGGGGCTCTGAGAACGTGAAGGCCCATTTGGGAGTGTGGATGGGAAGAGACCTGGCGGAGTTAATCGATGATGTTCTTCGATCGTCCATTGTAGAGTCTTAGAGCCTCCATTGGATTGAGAGGCAAATTAGGGAATTTGGCAAAATGGCGTTGTTTCATAACCCATGTAATTTGGTCTAGTGCAAAAATAATTCAACTCAAAAATTAAAATTAAAAAATCGATTTTTTATTTTTATTTTTTTACTAAAATTTAAATGGTTAATATATATATTTTTTTTTACGATGTATCTAATGTTCAAGCCCACTATTAATAAATATGGTATCTTTACTAATAAGTATGATCCTCTTTGGACTTTTCCTTTCAGCTTGAAGATTTTAAAATGTCACAATCCTTCTCTCATTCTTCCATTGATGTGGGACTCTCAATCCACCCCCTTTGCGCCCTAGTATTCTTGTTTGCACACCATCTCTTGTCCATCCCCTTCGAGGCTCAACCTTCTGTTGGCATATCGTTTGATGTTTGGCTCTTATACCACTTGTAACGTCTCAAGTCCACCACTAACAAATATTGTTCTTTTTTGAGTTTCTTTCAAAATTTTTAAAATGTGTATGGTAAGAGAAGTTTGTCCTCTTTGGACTTTTTCTTTCGAGCAAAGTTTTGAAAATGCACTAAGAAGAAGTTTCCAGGTGTCTAGCTCTTATACCACTTATAAGAGTCTCGAGTCCACTACTAGCAAATAGTTGTATATATACATTATTAGGTGCTCCGTTTTATTTTCCCATTAAAAGCTCAAGTCTACTACTAGCAAATATTTGTAAATATACATTATTAGGTGCTCCGGTTTATTTTCCTATTGAGGCCGAACCTAAATCTATACTCGAGAGATAATCGGATTGAAGAGAGCTGAGCTCAAGTCCACTACTAGCAAATATTTGTGAAGATACATTGTTATGGGATTTGTGAAGATACATTGTTATGGGAGTGGTCTACAGGGTTCATAACTACTCCTCTTACTATAGGACACTTACCTAGCCAACATTTAGATCCGGACTAACTTTTCTGGGGATACATTGCACCTACTATAGGACACTTACCTAGCCAACATTTAGATCCGGACTAACTTTTCTGGGGATACATTGTTAGGTGCTCCGTTTTATTTTCCGATCCAGCTCTACCCAAACTAACTTTTTTGGTTTGGTAAAGATACATTGTTAAGTGCTCTAGAAGACGAGGTGATTCCCCAAACCACCCTAAATACTAATTACTAAGAAATAATCGAGAAGACAGGTGATTCCCCAAACCACCCTAAATATTGGTTAAGAATTAATCAGATTGAAGTTTAAGTAATAAATAAAATTCGTTTAATTTTACAATTTTTTTTTTCTCATCAATAATATTGTTAAATTTTCAAAAAAAAAATTAAGAAAAATATTTGAACTGGGCTCAGTGGGGTGCGCCAGGCCCATGCAATAGTGCAAGGCAAAGGCGACGCTCGAAGGCCCAAGTAGCAAGCTCCTTTGGTAGGCCTCCCCCCATGAAAAATTAATTTAATATCATGTGGGCCGATGGCCCACGTATCAGATATTAAACTGATAAGAACAGATACTACACTTGATCTTAGCCAAAAGGCCGAGAAAGGTATGGATTGAACTGTGGGTCTAATGGCTATTTTATATTGAGATGTTCTGCGCTCTTTCAGAACTTTACCGATGTGGGACGGACGTACATGATACGTTCCAAGGGAGGAATTAAAAAAAAAAACTAAATAATAAAAATACTCTTCCACTTTAAATTTCAAAATCTCAACTAGCTCGGGACTCTACCTGGCCCCTTCTAAGCTTGTCTTAGACGCTCATATCGCTTTCTCTCGAGCGTTGCTTATGTCACAACTTGACTTTAATACACACTTTTCTTGCTGTATTGGATGATGCACCGTCCTCCTCGGTTGCATCATGATACACACTTGTCTTCTTGGTGAGGGTTTGACGCATTACATATCATAACATACGTATCACATAATCATAGCATAACATAAGTCTACAAAAATATAGAATGTTAAAACAGTCATAAAATACGGCACATGGAAGGTCACAGAGTACGTGTCATTCATACTTCATTCAACCAAGTCAATACTAAGGTCACTTACCTGAGTAGCTTAAGTCAAAGTCGCTTATTTGTTCTTAGTGCTGGACTAAATTTGTTCTTTGAAGTCCAAGCCAACTAGTGTGAGTTCACGACACCGAATTAGAACACATTAAATAACATAATCTACTTAACGCACACAATTGGTTCTTACACGATACATGTAATGGTCTAAGTTCATCACGGGCAGATATTGTCTTTTTTGGATCTGACCTTTTGGGCTTCCCCTCAAGGTTTTCAAAACCCGTCTGCTAGAGAGAGGTTTTTCCTCACCCTTATGAAGGGTGTTCCGTTCTCATCCCCAACCAATGTGAGATCTCACCGTACATTCCTAGGACATGTAGCTAATTTTCATACTTAATTTTTCTAAACTTTTACTAACGCCAAATTGAAAGAACAATTAAAATTTTGGAATAAACGTGTAACAAACATTTGTTGGTCGAGATCGACCACAAGGATTTTAAGGTTGACCGACTATTTTAGCTACAAGATAACTCGATCAAAACAATTTGTTCGAGATCAAGTAAGCCCAAGAATAAAATGAATCAAATAATATTTCATAGAGATAAATAATATTTTTGTTTAGTTTCGCAATTCCTTACTAATAATTAATTATTGTTTTTAGGTATTTCGTTGTTACAAGTGAAATTATTAAAATAATTTTAATCAATTAAATTTTAATTAATTTAATAAAATTATATACGTAAATAATTACTACAATAATTAATTAAAAAAATTGACCAGTCCTCTATCAAAAATAAGTGATAATAAATTAACCCACTTTAAATTATTATTATTATTAATGTTTATTAAATTAATAAATATTCTTTAATTTTATATTTGATCTTTAAAATTTTAAAAATTTCAATAATATCTTTTAATTTTTTTTTAAATATAACAAATATCTCTAGAATTTAAAAAAAATTTAGAGAGATACTTTTATTTACGAAAGTAAAATTATTAATAATTTACTTAAAAAATATGTCTAAACCTGATTAAAAATAAATAAATAAAAATGTTAATGAACTTTCAAAAAATGATAATGGAGAGGTTGAAAATAATCTATAAGATATCGATAGACAGTTTTCGTTTCTACATTAACGATAAAATTATTTTTAATATTTTTTTAAAAAAATATAAGATGTTAATACTATTTTTAATATTAACAGCTCAGTTGAAATATATTATAATTTTTTTTTTAAAATTTAATAATATTTCTGAAACAATATTTATAAATATTTATAAATATAAGACTTTTTAAAAGGTGTAATAGGATTATTAAATTTTTTTTAATAATATATTTTTTTATAGAGATTAAAAAATTTATAAATATTTTATTAATTTGTTGTTTTTATTTCCTAATTTTTTTTTGGTTCTTTCATCCCCATTGTCGTCTTCTTCCTCGAGCTCTCTCCAATGTTTACATTATCATCCACATACTGGCGGACGGTGACTTTTTCATTTATGTCTATCGAGACCTCGATCTCCACCGGATTTCGCCTTTCTTCGATTTCTAGGGTTCCAGGTACATTGTTCTACTTTCGTTAGCTCCATTAATGCCTTTCATTTTTCTCCATTGAACTACATTCCGAGCTCCATCGCCTTTCCCCGGTCATAATCTTGGAGTTCTTGAACAATTTTCTATGTTTCAGGACCTAAATGGTAATATGAAGATTTGTTTCTTATGATGGTTCTTTCCATTTTCGTTTTCATATAAATCAACGAAGAACAAGTCTCTATCGATGCGTTATCTCTTCAAAATCCGATAGTTTATCACTTGTGAATCACTCTTTTCGTCTCTACAAGAACAAAATGAATCAAATTCTCCCAGATCTTCGATATTGGCTTGTGAATCATCCTATTATCCTCGATTTCGAATGGATTCAAGGTCAAACATTCGGCTCCACGCCTCTGTTCCTCATCCTCACTGTTTTTTCTTACCTATTCCTCACCTTGCTCCTCTCCCACATTCCCCTCCCTTCCGTTTCCCTTCACTTTCTCAAGCCAATCTCAGCCCTACACAACTTTGTTCTTCTCAGTCTCTCCTTCATAATGGCCCTTGGATGCACCCTTTCTTCCATTTACCATGTGCCTCATCTCCACTGGCTTATCTGCTTCCCACCTCGCACCCCACCAGTTGGACCTCTCTTCTTCTGGGCTTATGTCTTCTACCTATCCAAGATTCTTGAATTCATCGACACCCTCTTTATTATCCTTACTGGGTCGTTTCAACGCCTCACGTTTCTTCATGTTTACCACCATTCGACGGTTTTGATCATGTGTTATCTCTGGCTTCACACTTCCCAATCACTGTTCCCCATAGCTCTCTTGACCAATGCGGCGGTGCACGTGCTAATGTATGGGTACTACTTCCTATGCACCTTTGGGATTCGACCCAGTTGGAAGAGGTTGGTCACTGATTGCCAAATCTTACAGTTTATCTTTAGTTTTGTGGTTTCTGGTCAAATGTTGTACGAGCATTTTGGAGGATCTGGTGGCGGTTGCTCTGGCTTTCGGGGTTGGTGCTTTAATGCTGTTTTCAATGCCTCTCTTTTGGCTCTTTTCATCAATTTCCATTTGAAAAGTTATGCTGCCAATAGAAAGAAGAGGATGGAGACCAAAACCATATGATTGCTGTAGTTTTTCTGTTTATTTTAGAATAAAATCCTTACAATTATGGATGATAACTCATTGTTCTGAACTTTGCATTTTGTTTCTTTTCTTTTGTGAAATCCTAGCTAGGCTCTGTATTGCTGTAGCGACTATAGAGAAATTTCAAATCTTTGATTTGACATTCTTCAATGGATATCATGTCCAAACAATGTTAGTTTTAACTGTTGCCATAAGTTATATGATTATGTTCCAATTCTATGCTTAAAATAAAAGTGAAGTACACTAGAGCTATGCTATGTTGGTAGATGCTAAGAACTTTCTGTAAGCAACTTGCAGAGCAAAAGAGTATCATTATTGATAACTCAAATTGCACTTATGTGATCCTTTCCAAGATAACATTGATG